AATGTGCTTTCAAATGCTCCACTTCAATCACATTTCGTTAAAACACGAGCAGTGATCGGGTAACAAACAATAAGCTGACGCAGAGACACGAGTTGGTCCGCTACTGCATGACAGAGGAACACTTTTGTAAGTACTCCAATATACCACAAATAGACTAAATGGGGCACAAGTTGTGTGTGCATGAGAAATTTTTGACAGTAATTGCCGGCGTGCGTGATTATTAGGTTGGCCTGTTAGTCTATTCCTGTAGGTATTCATCAGATTTACTGAGAGGTCGTTTGGATACATATTATAAAGTTAGTTGCTGCTTTTCCATTGAAAATCATGACAAAAACCAGAAACTAACTTTAAAGCCGACTTCGTTAAGGCTTTGAATACGCATTCTTCGGTTATATCTTCCTAACTAAATCTTGGAGTAGTGGAACTAGGAATGTTAATCTCGGGATCCAGGCCTTGTAATTTGCACTGATGGCAATAATAGGAACTCCTTTTCTTGACCAGTATTGGCTAATTTTTTTTTATTTATTTAATAATTAACAATTTTTTATAAATCTCTAGCTGATTATACATATAACACCGCGCGATAGTAAATTTTTAACACAAATATCAATATATTCGCGAAATGGGCTAAATATAGTAAAATTGCATTAGTAATTCAAAAATTATTTAGAAAATTCAGAGAAATGTGTTTAGAGAAAAAGGATGGGCATCAAATTAAAAAGGAAATGCCGTAGAATTTAAACAGATTCAAGCTTTTGGTGCCGAAGGACTGGTAAGTATTGAAAATGTCCTTTTAAAATTTTATCTTTGAAGTATCGCAATATTTGTTTTTGAAAAAATTATATGTTAAGGACTTATATAAACTCGACAACATCCATGAATTTCGTCCATCTAACTTCATCAGCTTTAAAAATTACCTATTCGTACTTGTGAATCCAAACAATTTTATTTTTTTAATTCTAAAGAAATCTCCTCTTGTATTTGGTTCCCATATTTGTATTCTACCTTGCGTTGAATTTTTTAGATAATTTTTGGAATTAATCATATCTTTGAAATTACAAAGTCCTTTAAAATAAATCCTGACGTCGAAGAGAAAAAATTAAAGCGCAACTTTAAATGAAAAAAACGGGTTTATTTTATGGTGGTAGAGTTTCTCAAACAATATAGAAGCAGTTTTTTCGATTTAAGTTGTTGAAAAATTAACATCCCTAACTGGAACAGACTAACTGATTACACTGAACAGCTGATTATGGGAGGTTATGCGCTCTATGCGGAGTGTAATTACACCCCTGTTTAACATGCGCTGCTTGTCTATGACCAGTGTTGCCACAGAATTTTTTTTTATTATTTTACCAAAATCACCGAAAAAAGTTACCAATTTGAACAAAAAATTACCAAACTTATTTTATGTACAGAACTGCACAAACATGCATACGTTATTTTGGCAGTTAGGGCTCGACATGTATGTTTTTACAGTTCTGCACATAAAATAAGTTTGGTAATTTTTTGTAATATGTTAAAACTTGTCAAAATATGGTGCGGCTATAATTTTTTCGCCCACTGTATGTAAACAAGTGACAAGAAAATATACCAAAAATTCAACGCTTGAAGGAAAGCTTTCGACTCACACATAGACACAGTGAAGTCCCCCGCTGAATGCCGTAGCTTTTTGAACGACAACATACATATTTACGTAGAATTCTACTCATATATATGGTTGCCGGGTATACCGGAAAATTGATGGTAATTGCAAAGCTGATGAACTGACAGGGAAAGGTAGGACCACCCAAAACCTTCCAGGAAAGGACTCGGTGGATATACTTAGCAATAGCCACTTTCAAGCAGTTTGTTAAAGATCACACCATTCTAGTAGCCAAGGAACGCTGGAACAACTTTCACCTTGCGAAACTTTCAGGATTACCTGGTATTTCTATAAAAGGAAGCGCTTACAGGCCACTTACTAATGTGGAATCAGAACCATGTAAGACCGAATCGAAAAAGTTACCAAATTTGATAAATAAATTACCAAACTTGATAAATAAAGAAAAAAATTACCAATTTTGGTTGAAAATTACCAAAGCGGCAACGCTGTCTATGACCTGCACTTACAATGTAAGCATACTCAGCTCTTAAGTTATGCTCTGCTGAAGGGAACTTAGTTTGGAATTAAAATACATGTTATATTCGCAGACCTTTCATTTATTTACTATTTATTTTTCACCATTTTGTCTTTTCAACCATTTTAACAATAAGAATTCATGCAAATGTGTATGTTTGCTCAAACACACACATACATTTAGTGAAAAAAAAATTTTCAAAGCCAATTTAAAATTTTCAATAGTAAATTTTTTACGGTAAAATTCTGATAATTTGTTTGATTGTTAGTAGTTGTCTCTCAATAAAAGTGCTTTGTGTGGCCTGCCTTTTTGATTTAAGTTTGAATTTTTCTTAAACAATATGCATGCAAAAAATAAGATTATAATAGGAAATATAAGTTTATGTATACATATATGTATATTTATGCATGTATATGTGTGGATTCAACTGCTGTATATTGTATACATCCAGCAAACAATTAGGTTTGATATACATTTGAGAATGACTTAAAATCAAAGCCTTTCTCAAATTTTAAACGTTTGAAAATGATTTGATATTGATTTGAAAATGACTGCTTTCTCAATAAAAAGGAGAGTTTTATCTCCATTTGAGAATATGGTTAACTCTCAAATCAATTTCAATGGTTATTTATCAATTGTACTTCAAATGTGGAAATAGAATTTATTACAGGAAATGTATATTTCATATTTATTTTTTCTTCGCGATGCACATATGTATATACATAACAAAAGAAACAGTTAAGATAAAGTAATTTATAATAAATTCGTCTTGAAGGGCTGCAACTTCTTCAATCCGCGCAAACATCAAATCCACTATTTGTGGGCTTTCTCTTTGAAAATTTTTTTCTATTCATTGCTTTTTTTCAATTGATCCAAGTTTTATTCTTACAATTTTTGATTTAACTGCGCATTTTTATATCGTTTGACACTTGCCATCTTTCTTCAAATCAACCTCAAATGAATTTCAAATGTAAAATTTAAACCTCGTTTTCAATTTGAGAATCATTTGACAAAAACATTTGATATCAAATTGAGAAACACATTTCCTCAAACGTTTGAGACTGTGTTTGCTGGTCAGATATATGTACATACAGATATACTATGTACATACATATGTATGTACATAAGTATGTAATTATATCGATATTAGCAATCTTGTTCTCATCGGAAAGAAATAACATTAAAATTGAAACACATATATGTATATGTACATACATATATGTATGTAGAAACCAAAAACAAACATCCGTATTTGAAAATTTTATCTTTACTCAAAATAAATATTAATTTTGATGCAGTAATTAAAAAAGCTGTTAAATTTCTTATAACCTGGTACATATGAGTATGTTTCTAAATGGAAGGTAATAATAATTTTTGTTGGTAATTGAGTCAGATCAAAGCTTAGGTTGGGTTGAATATTAAAATTGTGGGCTTATAAATTAAGAATATGCCTGATACGAATATTTCGTCTTCAGTTATCATTTTTGTTAATCAATTTCATAACAACTTGGCCATTTTGTACTTCCAGAGTATAAAGACTTCCGTCTTTTACTTCGTTATTCAATACCTCATCAGTTACATTTACATGCACTCCTGACGGGCCAGCTAAAAATATAAAATTTTTAGAGCTATCACTAAAGATGTTTGAACCACTTCCGGAATATTTAGAATGCATGCTCCAGTTGCTGTATATAGTTCCATTTTCCATTGTTCCGTTTGTAGTGCCGTTTGCAATCATCTCGTAAAATCCGGGCATTTTGCAAAGCTTCTGCATTAGTTCTCTTGATGTGTTGGAGACCAAATATATGGCGTTGTAGCTACTACCGTCCATACTTACGTAGAGTGTAAGACGAGGTGCAATTGCTCTGCAATGTGATTGTTTATGTTAGTGACCATGTATATTTACGTATTCGAAATGAGTACATATGTATATTAAATGCAACGTACTTAGCGCGCAGTATATTGAACATACGAATCCCATCGGCAAGGCCGCATATTTGAATTAAATCCTCCTTAGACATCCTTGAATTGAAAAAAAGTATGTGTGTAAATGTTAGTGTTTTTGTTAAAACGTCTAAGTAATATTGAAATAAAATTAATAGAAACAAGTAAAAAAGTCTTAAGTTCGGACGGAGCCGAACATAAGATACCCCGCGCAGTTATTAAACATAGTTTTTTTCACCTTTCCGAAAACTACAGCTCCATGGTAAGCAGGGATGATTTTATTATATTTCAAACATCTTCGATAAACTTATATAAATATACGTGAGCGGTATCACGCCCATTTTCCAAAATTCCATAATGTTACTTATTTTCAAGGGAATGTTGTTAGTATCAATTTTATGTAAATTAGCTTACTTAAATTTCAATATTTCGAGGTTTCAAGCACTTCTGAAATTTACCGTTATATGAAAAGTGGGCCTAATTTAGTCCGATTAAAATGATGATCACACAGAGTTTGGTGCAAATGGCTCGAATGGTTATCGAGATACAGACACGTGGTCATAAGTAGGCGGTGGCGCTCCCATTTTCCAAAATATTATAAACGTATTTTTTGCTACAGAATTATAGCAAAAATCAATTTTGAATAAATTAGCTTCGGTATTTAGCGATTTATTGAAGATCTCGTATTTCTCTAAATTACCGTTTTATGGGATGTGGGCGTGGTTATTATCCGATTTTAAAAAATTTCCGCCATTCGGTATGCTGTATCAAGACCAATAACCGTGCGAAGTTTGGTGGAAATTTGTGGAGCGGTTACCGAGATATATATATGTAATCATAAGTGGGCGTGGCTACGCCCATTTTCGAAAAATTTATAATATTCTTATTTTCGGTCTAAAAATCATTGTAAATATCAATTTTCAGTGAATAGGCTTAAGTAGTTACTAAAATATCGCAGTTTTCGTATTTCTGAAAACTACCGTTATATGGGAGGTAGGCGTGGTTATTGTCCGATTTCGCCCAATACCATTCGTCCTACGTACACATACCAAGTTTCGTTAAGATATCTCGATTTTTACTCGAGTTATCGTGAGCACAGACGGACAGACAGTCACTGTTTAATCGATTTCTTTTTTCATTCTGAATATTTATGTATACATTTGTTTATATCTGTCTCGATTCGTTTTGCCTGTTACAAACAACCGTTATGTGAACAAAGTTATAATACCCTTGCACACAAGTGCGCTCGGGGATAAACATTATATAGTAATGACTTAAAGCGCAGTTACCCACGACCGTAAAAACGGAGAACGTGTCAGCTGACACGATCTATCTTATTTTCAATATCTTCGCCCTTACTAAACTGAATTTAAAGTTATAGAGAAACCAGCCTAAGTCCACCATAAGAAAATTTTGGGAAGTTGTGGTTCTTTCTTTTCATGCAAAACTGAAAAAAAAATTTACAAAATATATCTTGGAAGCATTTTGCGAAGAAGAAACTATGAAAAATTAAGGCATATTCAAAATAATGAAGTCTTTATGTTGGACTTAAGCACGTTTGAAAAATACGATATGGACTTAATACATACATATGTATGTATTCAGTTAGTCTTGAAGCAAAATTTCCAAAACACTTTTATAGGGGACTTAAGCAGGCTTTATATGTATCAACTCATAAGTCATAGCAGGGATGGAAGATCGAAATTTCAAATTGTGCCTAATTTGACAATAGAAATGTTCCTTTTTGCTGTCAAATATACCTAAAAAGTAGCTCACTATTTTTTTAACTTTTTTTTATTATTTCCAGACAATTGGTAACAATTTAATAAATTTTTACATTATTTGCATTAATAAGAAAATGATTAATATATCAGTACAGTTTAATTAATATTCATAACAATTCAATGAAGATACAGCTAGCTTAGAATAAAAAGTTGCTTAGTGGACTTTTTATGAAAACTCATACTTTGATATAAGAGGCTAGAGAAATTAAACATGTATCGTTTCGAAAAGGGTAGAGGTCCTTGTTTTATATTCAATGAAAGGAAAATGTGCTGAGTCCACGAAAAGCTCCGAAAATTCGATAAGGCCAAAATAGTACGAAATATTTTAATACCGATCGAATCCCTCTGATTCGTATGGAGTTTTGCTTTGCTTTAAACAGGAAAAATGTTGTATTCAAAGTTCTGCGAAATTTTTGAAGAAAATGGCTATAAGAAGTTTTTTTCTCACCCATACAATTTTTAAATTGGGACTTAGCAATTTAGACCACGGTAACATTTTTGCTGATAACTTGACAGTTTTGTATGTTAGAGCGGTGCGGTTCCAGGAAAGCATTATGCTTCAAATTTGTCGACGGGTGAGTATTGCGCTTGACTTCCACGCGTACGCACTTTTTCGTGGTTTCGTGTTTCGTGATGCGGAAATCGCGGGCCTACTATAGTAGTCCGCGCGAGTATTAATGTACTGAACTTGTAATTTGGTTACTATGCATATGCGGTGAAGCAGTGTTCTTAGAAACTGCCGCCGATGATTACTTAAAATATTTTTCAATTTGATGAACATTACTGCAATCAACGCTCTCATAATCAACCAAATGAATGTCAATAATGAAGAAAATTTTAACGGGTAACTTTTTACAAGAGCAGTCCCTTGATTTATTGGAACCACCTTTGAATCGCCGTACATCTATTGAAACACTACTCTAACAACTAAAATTTGAAATAAGGATGCTCTTAGATGCATCTCAAGAAGTACAGCACGATGTACATAATACCAAATTTTTGTTTGTCGGTTCACCTACATATTGTACCAGAGCTTTATGTCCATCCACAAAAACGAGGTGCAAGACTTGTAAAAAATGGTTTTTATCTTATCACTAGTCTGCGGTAGGCACTCAATGTTACGAAAACTGATAGTTTATTAAGTAATATTGCTTTAAGAAGAAAATGTTAAACATTGATCTAAGAAGTAAAATTATTTTTATATTTTCTATTACATAATTAAGGGCCTTATTCGGCATCACAAACGATAGGCAAAACGAACGATTCGTCTGCAGACGACAACCTCTCTGATTTCGATTTTAAACTCTATCGGTCGTCTTCGTCTTGCTTTTCATACATTACGTTGCAATGGTCTCGGTTGCGCTTAAACCGCCTAAAATGATGCCGCCGGACTAATTTTTTAAGCATTCCTCTGCAGACGAATCGTTCGGGTTGCCTATCGTTCGGGATACAGAATAAGGGTGTAAATTATTTTTTATTTCAAGATTCCTACTTTCTATGAAAAAATTTAAATTTGTTATCGCAAGCGTAATAGATAAGTATATGTTTTTAACTATATGTTTCATTTAAATGTTATCTAAAAAAGATTTTTTAACATTCTCAAATGGTCTACTATAGTAGTCCACGCGTGCATTGGTGTAAAAAAAGAGCGCGTGTACTCTAGTGTTAAATTAATTATGGGGCTTAAATTTAACAAAAATGGCCATATATTCAAGAAGAGTCTGGAATTATTTTGTAGAATTTAGTTATTTATTTTTAGCATTTATTGTTGAAAAATATATCTAAGATATCTTTGTTTGCTTGTACCTAATTAATGGTAATTTGTAACAATAAATTGTACAGAAATTAAAAAAAAAATGTACTCCTTTTTTATGTGTTGCTTTTTTTCTATCGAAAATAGAAATGTTACTCCTTTCTTCGTTTCAGAATCTGGCAACCCTAATCTCGACACCCGCATCACCTAGCGGATAGTTCATCTTTCATATTGCATTGTCATCGGGTTCTGAGCTATGTTTACAGTCCTAAGTAGAGTACCGATTAATCGGCATCGGCATCGGCTAGTATCGGCACAAAATTGAGCATCGGCATCGGCCTTTTTTCGCCGATTCTTTGGAATTTCTTTTCAAATGTTCAGGTGAAGCGACAGCCAACATTAAAAAACATTTGCAGACAGTCACCAAAAATGATTTTTTTTTTGTTGAAAGTGTTTCACGTTTTTTCCATACAAAAGTATGTGCGAGAATTTTCTTTTATATGGAGAACACTGCCAGCAAAAAAAATTGCCAAAAATTACCGGGATTTTATAGCAGCTTGAAACTTGCACTTCATTATACTAGAATGAAATGGTCTACAAAACTGCATACCAAAATTCTGATTAAAAAAATTGAAATTTTGGTGAAAATAAGCAGAATTTTTCTCATTTTTGTACAAAGTTTGAAATCTGAATTTATATGGTGTTTGTTGTATACTAGCTAGACTTTTATTTTGCGGACCACTATATGTATGTACATACATTCCTAGCATATAAGTTCTTATGCATTCAGTGCAAAGGAGTGTATTTTAGTACAAAACGAAATGAAATTTTATGTTCCTTAAAATTTTTTGCTTAGCACCATATAAAAGTGTTTTAAATGTGATATATGTACATATATTTTTACACATACATATGTATGTATGTACATACATGTGTATGTAATGTTGCATAACAAGCCAATTAATTCAATTATTTCTTTTCTTTTGTTTTTTTTTTTAACTCCGTGAAATGAACTGATTTTATGAATTAATACATTTATTTGTAATTTTTTATGGAATCGGCATCGGCCGATTCTTTCCCCATAAGCCGATTAATCGGCATCGGCATCGGTACCTGAAAAAAAAATTGGAATCTGTCGGACTATAGTCCTAAGTTTCTCCGCCCTATTCCCACACCACTGACAAAACTCAGCGGCTGACTATTGCCTTTACTACTGCGCCTAATACTATGCCGCAAATTTATTTTAGGCTGTCGTATGACAATTGTCAGTTTTATTGTTATGACCTACTGAGTAAGTGACAACGGCGAAACAATGTTTATATTGTGTTTTAGGCGCAGTAATTGTGAGTGTTGTGGGAATGGGGCGGTCTAGCTCAACGGGAAGCTGGTTAAAAATTGATTGCAAAATTTGGTTACACACAGGTGAAACATAAGTTGCGTTCCCTAACTTGCAAGAAGTTGCAAGAGTTTACGGGATGTTTCTAGAAAGCGTTCTCGTACTCGGTTCTCTGGCTTCTTTTGCCTTTCGACAGTTTTACAGGTTTTAACCCAGAAAAGTTGTAAAAGCTTGCAAAATGGCCAAAACTGGAAAACATGTCATTAACATAATTAGTTGACCGCAGGGCTATGTATGTACATGCATTTATATATGAAATTGTTTATTAAATAAACTTTATTTTACTTATTGTGGGAAGCAATTACAGCTTTTTTATGCTCAACTCGTTACTGAATAAAATTAAGTGAAAGTACTTCCAAAGGAATTGAAAATAAATACATATATTAAATACCAAAGACCAATAAAGTGCTTGGTTATTTCCATCTTGAAGTTTTACACGAATGGAGGAACCCAACTTTTTACATCGTTTCCGATTAGGAACTTCTTTTTCTACATGTTTCCCTACTCGAATTCAATCTGAGTCCCACCGAGTGGTGTTCAAGGGTAAAATTTAAACATACCTTAACACACATATGTATTAGTTTACCTCATAATATCAGAGCCTGAAAAGTGGGCAAATGTTGAAAGGTAAGACGTCAAGCGATGGTGGTTCAGCCACTGTGCGACTTGGGACGGAGTGGACTCTGGCAAAATGTTGATAGCCTAACAGTAGCAATGTTGAATAAATTTAAATTTAATTATTTAATTAGCAGTGTGGTCAAACGTTTTCAATAACTCACATAGTCATCCATGTCTGGCGTGGTGGACTGCTGCGGGGACACCATGTTACCATCCATTAGTTTCAACGTTGGTGAATTTGTTGAAGTGACACTGTTAATTGCTATGGGGTTGGTGTTGGTGACAGGCGATCCACCAGTGTACGGCAATATGCCATCATACTTCGGAATGTGGACCGGCGAGTTAGGCCAAATTTTCAAACTATAATAAAAGCAAATAAATATAAAAATTATGTTAATTGTGCATGCGTGATCATGAACCATTCAGTTGTAAATATGTATTAGCAAATACCTGGCCTTTTTGAGAAATATTATATTATTATAAAAAAAATAATCTTGATGGTTTCGTAAAGAGTGAAATTTTAACCAAAGGTTTCCGTTTAATTTCACTATACATCACGATTCAAGAGGTACATATAAACCTCAAGAAACAATGAGATGCAATAGTGGGTCTTAACTGAAACAACTTTGCTCGGCGGTATTAAATATCTGAGCCTGATTCTGAATAACAACCTCCATTCGAAAAAGCCTATTGGGACAAATCCAAGAAGAGAGCCTAACTGCCATCCTAACTTAGGGTTCACACCAGACAATATTGTCAAGACTAATATGTTGTAAACACGGCGAGTTCAATTTTTTAAGTAAAAAATATTTTGGCGGAAATTTCTTGCACTATATGAGTCAAAGCCGTGTTTGTGGAAGATTAAGTTCACGAATATTGCAGTTGTGAATTAAAACAAAAAAAGAAACAATGTTTAACAAAAATTATGAAATCTCGGCTCTAATCATTTCGATCTTTCCTCGACCTCATTTGAAAAGAAATAAATATTGTATCAGCGTGCTGGTAAGTTATATGCTTTGAGCCTGATGGTACAATCACTTGATGGAGCCAGCACGCTGGTGTCGTATATTTCCCCTTTTATACAAAAAGGTTTTTGGTTGGATAAAATATTAGCTTTTGTCCAGAGTTCATTGTTTTTCTATACCATTACTTATTGAAAATGTTTGCGTATATACTTTTATATGTATATGTAAGTAAACCATTTTAGCTACCATTTTTAGCTACAAGGAATTTTTTTAGCTCTTTTTTAGCCCTTTTTTTTAAAGGAATTTGGCTACCACTAAAAACGATTCGCGGCAACACTGCTCTCCACATACAACTTTAGCGTTGCGTTGGCGCCGCTTCGAAAGCAGCGCTAGTAACGCCAGTGCTTGCTACAATGAACGCTTGGCAGCGAATACTTTGGCTACTAATTTAACATATCAATAATTGCATTCAAACTAAATTTTTTTGACCGCATGGGATTAAAAAGGAAAAAGATTCACAGTTGGTCATCGTTCTGCTTTGTGTTGGCGTTAGTGTTGCCTAATTTTGGCTACGTGGACGACTGCATTTGAATTCATGTATTCATAGCCAGCTGTCGAAGCGACGTTAGCGCCAATGCAACGCCAATGTCGGGTCTTTAAATCCCACTTATAGCTCAGTTAGTCAACAACGTAGCGTAAACGTAGGTTGACGTACGTAGCAGCATATCAAATTTACTGTTGATAGAGAGAGAGAAAAGCAACGGCAACGTCACCGCCATGCGGTGGTGAGTTTTCGTTAACACGCGAATCCCATAAGATAGATCGTTTCTGCGTCAACCTATGTCTACGCTACGTCGTTGACTGTTTGCGCTTTTATCGGTCATGAGTTTATCTGATCATATTCTGCGTAATGGTGCCCACACTCACCGACGTGTACGTATGCCGTGTCTGTTTGACGTAGCAACATATAAAACTTACAGTTGATAGAAAGAGAGAGAAGCACGCGTAACCGTCGCACGTACACGGTGGTGAGTTTTCATTTACATCAGTCATGCCCAACGTCGGCAGAACTCCACAAGCAAGTGCCCTGCGCTGGCAGAATTCCATATGCAAGTGCCCGGCGCTGGGCATGACTGATTTACATGGTGCTCTCATAAGTTTGATCGTGTCAGCTGACACGTTAACGTACGTGAGTGTGGCTCACCCGATCAAACTTACGAGAGTGCCATGTAAATGAAAACTCACCACCGTGTACGTGGGACGGTTAAGCTGATGTCACATAAAACTTTTGCTTCGCTTTACGTGACAGATTCGCTTTGACAGATAAGATGAATTGTATGAAAATGCACAAAACATGCCACATAAATCGTTGAAGCGGCAGCGCGAAGCGAAAAGATGGTCAACTCCCATCTTTTTGCGCGCTTTGGCAATCAGCCGGTTTAATATTTATTTTGTTTCGTCCAAATTCGGGTTTTCATGCAGAAACATAAAACTTAATTACATTGCTGATAATTTTAAATCAAAATAATTAAAATCCACAGCAACTTTGATGAGTAAAAAAGCGGTACAACATTGTTTTCTTGGCGTTCATTGTGGCATACCTTTTGCGTCTGGCGCTTTGCTGGCAAAGTTATAAATGTCACGCAAAGCTACAAAGTTTTATCTGGCATCAGCTTTACGCGTGCTTCTCTCTCTATCAACAGTAAATTTTATATGTTGCTACGTCAAACAGACACGGCATACGTACACGTCGGTGAGTGTGGGCACCTTAAAAGTTGATGCCGTTTCAACTCCTTGTCGCCGTAGTTGAATAGCTCGGCTGACAGGCCGTTCGCTCAAGCAGATTTGTTTTTTTTCAGCAAAATAATTCCTGTTCGTACTTGGTCATAGTCAGACGAGGGACATCGACTCCATGATCCTCGACTGGGGCTCGGGTTCGTCGTCTCTATTACTTTCAGTGCTTCTGTAATTTGATAGGGCGGAAAGTGTTCCAAAATTTAAGTACGTTTTGGACATCGCGTTTTTCCTCTCAGTCATTCGTAGGTGATTCAGATCCAATCACCATGCGAATCAAGAACAAATCGTTGTCTTCTGTACCCACCAGCACAAACATTGAAAAAATAGCTAGATTCGTAAAAACTATTGATTTAGCTAATAACCACTAATTTTTTTTCTGCACCGTTGAAATGCACAATAAACAAAACATTAAACAGTAAACAAAAGCAAAGAGCAAGAAGCAGAGATGCAAAGTGAATCACGAATGTGTCGTGTAAACAGGTTGATTCGCCGTTCGTAATTGAGAGAGCGAACCATTTAAGATAGACCGGGCTCATTAAAATGAAGCGGTTGCAGAGCAAACAGAATGAAACTCCTCTGCACTCTTTCAATTCTTAGGGACTGAGACGCTTATATCGGATTCCATATTAAGGAGGCGTATTCCAATTTAGACCGCGCTAAGGAATCATAAAGCAATTTTCGAGTATACCGATCTTTAAAATCTAACATAGCGTCCCATGAAAGCTAAGTTAGAATACGCCTTAGGAATGATGTAATTGATGTGGTTAACAAAGGTAAATCCCGAATTAAAGAGCACTCCTAGATCCAGGAATTCAACAACAGTGCCAGGCTCTACACATGAGAGTGAGCATTTTGAAGGTATTCGATTTCGTGATTTAGACAAGGTCATTTCTAAACATTTATTAATTTTAAGAGACAGTTTCTAGAAGTATAAGCTTTGATGCAATATGTTGCAATATGAAGCAGATTTAACCGATGAAAACATAAATTGTTTTGAAATTGGATGTTTACATAAATCTGATAGTAGTTTTATTTTAATTTTGAGTCCTATTGAATTTTTTATACAGCTAAATAGACATTAATTACGTAATTCACGTAGATGCATTTATATTTCGTTCAGTATTTCGTTTAAACTGTCAGATTTCCTGCAAATATATTAGAATTTACAAAAGGAATTTCACTACTAATTGCCTACTTTGCTTTCTTTTCTACTACCATTTTCGCAACAAGGGATTGCATTCTTCCCCCTTCCTCTGTCCTTCGCAAATGTAAGGGAGTGTCAAACCGCGGCTGTCCGTAATTATCTAACCTTGTATTATTGAATCATGTTTAAGGTGAAGATGCAATTAGCAACGTCCAGTTCAGTGACAGCCATTCCTCCAAAGTCTACAGAGTTAGAGGTATCACAATTTGAAATAATAGCTATCAGTATCCATGACAAAATTCGATTTTAAAAAGTCTGCAAAAAGATTTACCGAATCTACCAAACTAGTAAAAGACTTATTAGTTGTAGTTTAAATAAGTAGGAATATTTGAGCACCCTTTTGTAGAACGAATGTATTTCCAGAAAGCTTTGGGGTTTGACTTTGTCTGAAGTTCGTAACGAGCGATATAATTATTATATAATAATTTGTCAAGCTCATTTAATTGACACATACAATTTAAATATTTCTCTTTATAACTCATATTATCGGTGGCTTGATGTAAATTAAAATATTTGTTCCTTTTATTCATTAACCTCTTTAGCTCTTAAGTGTACTAAGGCAGCTTATGTATGCGAGTCGGAAGAAGGGAGAGATTGCTGTGGAGAGTTTCTTGAATGCTAAGGCACCCCGCACATTACACGCCTAATCAAAGTAGAGTAATCGCTTTGTCATGCCGAAACGAATGCACGACGACTCGACTTCTGCACACTTGCACCCCCTGCATAAGTCACCAGCTAAAAACACTTTCTACACTTATCATTTATTTTCAATTATTTCCTGTTGAAATGACAAATAATTTTAATTTCCAACACAAAAAAGTAAACAAATGCGGATTTCAAAACGGCAAGCGTCTTAAACGATGTTTCCACGACAAGTGATTCGCTCCCCCATTCGTAATTCGCTCTCTCATTCGTGATTGGCGTCCCAATTAAGAACCGAATCACGTAATTCGCCATACAAAATTTTTCAGAACGAATCACTTCATTCGTAGGTGATTCAGATCCAATCAACATGCGAATCAAGCACAAATCGTTGTCTTCTCTAATTTGTACCGTTAACGGCTGTCAAAATACATAGACCACAGACATACCCACCAGCACAAACATTGGGAAAATAGATTCGGTAAAACTATTGATTTAGCTAATTAACCACTGCACATTTTTTCTCCACCGTTGAAATGCACAATAAACAGAACATTCAACATAAAACAAGTAATTTTTAGCAAAAATAAACCGACTTCAACTCTCATATAAAAAAAAATATATATATATATATCTCCTGATCCGCTGATCGGATCTTAGTAGTGGACCACCTCTGAGACACTACCTTTCCGATGCAAAAAGAATTATCGAAATCGGTTGACGTGGTCCAAAGTTATGCGGTAACATACATA